TGTGTAGGACCTGGTTCTAGGTTTCCAAGATTTGTATTCAAGTTAAAATTAAAACATAATTTCAAAATTTTTGGCAAACTGGCAGAGGCACAGGCATTCTGGAACCTGCACAAAAAATATTTTTAATTTGAGAAAAAAAGAGGCAAACAAAATGATCATCCAATTCATTTGCAATCTTCTTGTCTTTGAAGAAGCAATAATTGAAAACCATGCATCAAACGGACCCTTTCATATACAGGAATTGTAAAATTGGTTCAAGATGTATAAAAATTATTTACTTTTCTAGGCAGTTTGGGGCACTGATAAGGGGGGAAAAAGTTAAAGGCTAAGTTTGGGAAAAACAATTCCTCGTTCAGATTCTAAATAATTGTAGTAGGAACACATTGGGGCCTAACCATATTTAATTTGGAAGTAAAGCTACAATGTACTACCGGTAATCCAAAAAGATACACACACAGGATAACAAAAATACTGACATAAAACATTTGGAGAGAAGGGGTGTGTGGATAGTACGTGTTGTGGAGCGAGGGAACAGACAAGGCTTAGACCAGAACATACAAGTAACAGTCTTTATTCAGGGAATAAAGGGTTGTCGCATCTGCCAGCTAACAAGGCAGACTGCAAGCGAACAATGGCTGGCTCTGCTCGACAGCCGGCTTTTATAGCTGACTGTCAAACGGAGCCAACCAATGGGAGCTGCTGGTGCTCCCGCTCAAACAGCGGATCTGGTTGGGGACTCCAACCAGTCCTAAAGACATAACAGTACGCATCAACATACATATATCATATGGACTCCTTGAAGACACTCATAAAGGAGCAGAAATTATTGGCAATGCTAGGAGCCCACCTGGAATTACTAGAAGATAGATTATCAATATTCTTCTCGGTTATATTATACAAGCAAACCTTAATGATTAGAGGAGAAAAAATATGAAGAGATTTACCTAGAACCTAAATGACCTAGTACTAGTATCTTAAGGAATCCTGCCCCCGGATCCTAGTAAATCCTAGTAAAACCTGAAAGAGGTCAGGGTGCAAATTAAGAATCTCTCATGATTGGATCTCATTTGTTTAGCTGAATTGGCATACTCTAACCTTTACAGCATTGATGTCCCCTTTAGGCCTATTGTTGAATAGCTAGGACAAACAGTTCTAGTGACACTGCATTTTAATTCTTGTTCTCCTGTTTACTTTTATCCTAGTATAAAAAATAACCTTTGAACTTAAAAGCCATTAGTGAAAGTTACTTACCATTTTATTGCTTACAGTCATATCATGTTCTTCTGCCTAATTACCTAAGCAAATGTATACTGAAGTCTTAGGAAGGACATTCTGTGCAAGGAGTTTGCATACCTAAATAATAGGATTTTCTTTAAAAAATATTTTTCAGTTTCATCAAAGACCAGAATAAAATATGATTAATACAGAGGATCTTCATACGACTTCTTTGAAAGTATAAAAAGGTTTTTTTAATGAAATATACATGCCATTCAAGTCAAAACTGAAGTAGGAAAAACAATGTCTTAATGGGAAAAATGTCATTAATCTGAAATGGAAGAACTACAGGTAATTGGAGAGACTGCTTGGATGTAGCTCTCATTTACATCTGCTGGAGCTTGTTTGGAAACATAGCAAAATGCGTGAAAAATAAAGATTGGGAAAACAGCTTCACTCACTAGAGCAAGACAGTGTCGTGACATGGATAAGTGGGGTTTTCCTACACCAAACTAGCCAGATGACTATCAGAAGTGAGGGATCCAGCAGTCATTGTGATGTAGGTGAGAGCAGCCACATTTTAAAACTCTTGGATTTGTTTTGTAGAGCTCCCTCAGTGGAGCCTTTCAATGGAGCCTTGATTAAACTGAATCAACCCTTTAGGGCAGGGATATCAAACTCGATTTCATTGAGGGCTGCATCAGGGTTGTGCTGACCTCGGGGGCAGTGGTGGGATTCAGAATTTTTTACTACCGGTTCTGTGGCATGGCTTGGTGGGTGTGGCAGAGGAAGGATACTGCAAAATCTCCATTCCCTCCCCACTCCTGGGGAAAGTTACTGCAAAATCCCATTCCTTCCCCACCCCACCAACCTGCTTTCCAGCTCCATTCTCCTGTACAGGGCAACAAAAAAAAGACCCAGCCAATCAGCTGGGACTTGGGAGGCAGAGAATAAATAGGGGTGGGGCCAGTCAGAGGTGGTATTTGCCGGTTCTCCAAACTACTCAAAATTTCTGCTATTTGCTGGTTCTCCAGAACTGGTCAGAACCTGCTGAATGCCATCTCTGCTCGGGGGCCAAGGTGGGCACGGCCAGCTTGACATCACTCGTGTCGGGGGCGTCTGTGGTGGCCCAAGCACTCTGACAGTGAAAATGGGCTCCCAAGCTTTATTTTCAGTCACGACAGCCTCCTGTCTCTCTCTGTCAGTGAAAACAGAGTTTGGGGGGTTGTGTGTGACCCCCTCAAGCTCCATTTTCACTGGCAGAGGCACTGCGGGTCGGTCCTATACTGTTTCTAGGGCAGCCCTGTGGGCCAGATCTAAGCACCCCATGGGTCAGATCTGGCCCCGGGCCTTGAGTTTGACACCCCTGCTTTAGGGCTTCATACAGGCCAGCCCATAGAACACACCAAGGCACCAAAGATCTACTGGAACCTTAATGACATTCACTTTGGGATTGATGCCCTTCTAACTTCTGCTTTCTGGGATGTTGGTCTCACATTAAGAGAACCAACTATCTTGTTGGTATTTGGAAAGTCTTAAAAACCCACCCTTTTGTAAAAAAAAATAATAAGTTGATGCTTTTAGTCTAAAATGTTATTTTGGAGACTTTTCCCCTTATTATTTTATTTCCATCACAAGCTGCTCATGGGATGTTGGTAGTTGGCAATATCATAATAAAATTGTGTCTTAGATATATTTCAGACTGAACAAATGCTGTAAATACTTTGATATTAATTGTACCTCTAATACAATGAAAACAATTGAAAACAATTTTCAATAACAGGTTAGTTGAAACGCTTGTTCTCCATTCAAGTTTCTAAGGGACAACAATGTGAGTGATCTTTTCTTTACTATTTGGAAGCAAAAAGTGCAGTTTTTTAAAAGGTTGGGAAAATGTAGCTCCCTTGTGCTGCTGCCGTTTTAGACATTTTCTAGGCTTTATTGACACTGAGTGAAATAGCTATCTATGGGCTTTGTCACCTGTAGAAGCAAGAAATTTATGTAATTTAACAACAGACTTTTAATACATCATAAAAAAATACATGCACCTCTATTCCAATTGCACAAACCTGTATTGTACTCACAGAAGACCTAGTTTATGGAGCTATAAGATCATAATAACTATTTGTAAATGCACAAGCATGAATTGACTAATATTTATGTTGGTTTACCAAGTTTACAGAGAAGTGCAATTGTATACATGCCAAATCAGAAGTAAATCTTCTCCCAGATAAGAGTGCCTAGCATTGCAGGATATCCCATTGATCTGAAGGGGATCAATTCCATTGAGCATGTGGTTACGCTGAAATAATATTTGTGTGTATAGATTGGTGTGCTGTCCATTTTTGCTTTCATAATTGCTAACAGAGAGCAATTCTTGTAGAACAATACAAGAATCCTCTTTCATGAGCAGTGGCATGGAAAAAGCAGCTCCAAATAAACCCACAGTCATTGTCAAGCTAGGTAAATTATCACCGAGCGGCATATGGCATCACCACAAGGAAAAGGACCGCACTTCAATTATGTGCCGTACATCAAAGACTGGATGGAACAGAAGAGAATCAATGATTTAATCACTTCTCTGTGAAATGGACAGACTTGAAATGAGACGTTCCATAGCCAACTGGTGGCAGGCTAGTTATCGAGGGGCTCTCTTTCGAGCTTATCACGTAGATTGAGATGAAGTTGTTCCAGAGGCTATTTACTTAGCAAGGTTTAAAAAAATCTTAAAGAAGTGAAGGAATTATTTCCATTAGGCTACCAAGGGTAGAACTGTCTAAAAAGTAAAAGAGAAGATGCAACGATGCAATCACGTTGGTTTAGAGTACAGGTAGTCCTTGACTTATGAGCACAATTGAGTCCAGAATTTATGTTGGTAATTGAGAAATTTGTTAAGTGAGTTTTGCCCCATTTTATGACTTTTCTTACGTTTGCTAAGTGAATCACTGCAGTTGTTAAAATTAGTAACTTGGTTGTTAAGTAAATCTGGCTTCCCCATTGACTTTGCTTGCTAGAAGGTTGCAAAAGGTGATCACATGACTCCGGGATAATGCAACCATCACAGTATGAAGCAGTTGTCAAGCATCCAAATGGAAATCATGTGACCATGGGGATGCCCTTGTAACTCCGAATAGTCACTAAATTAACTGTTGTAAGTCAAGGACTACCTGTACTGTCTGGAAGCTGGCCTTAAGCTAGCCGTATGAGCCATGGTGGCACAGTGGTTAGAATGCAGTGCTGCAGGCTGACTCTGCTCACTTTGCCGGCAGTTTGATTCCTTCGATCCTGACTGGCACAAGGTTGACTCAGCCTTCCATCCTTCCGAGGTCGATAAAATGAGGACCCAGATCGTCGGGGGAAATATACTGACTCTGCAAACCGCTTAGAGAGAGCTGTAAAGCACGGTGAAGCAGTATGTAAGTTTACGTGCTATTGCTATTAAGTGCAGAGTGCAGAGAGGAAACAGGATGAACAGGGTAGCACCTATGTTGACGTTGACGCGTTGGTGGACTTCTGGATCCAATTTTAGATGCTTGGAGCCCTACACAGCCTGGCATCTCTGTACTTGTAGGATTGTTTCTCCTTACCAGAATTTGCCAACCTCCCAAGAAAGGTTAATCAAGATTCCCATTCCTAATGAGATTAAGAGAGAGGAAGCACAAAGATATACAGTATGGACTTTCCTGGAGATGGTCCCCATATATTGGAGTACCTTGCTAAAAATTGATGCAGTTGTGAAGAACAGCTGATGTTTTGGGGCTATTAACTACTGTAATCACTTTTCATTTTGTACATTTTATTTCAGTTCTTATACGTTTCTGGCATACTACAAAAGTTGCAGTCATCTCTACTGTCTAAAAGAGATTTCTTTCTAAGTTGTTATAAGATAGAAGAAGGCCCTTACTCAATCTTGCACACTAACCACTTGCTTCAAATGATGACTGGGCCAGTAACAAACTTTCTTAAATATACATGTTTCCACATTGATCCAAAACATACTCAGTCCACCCAAAAAATAAGTCCCATGTTTTAGAATACGTATGCCATCGTACACCCTCTAAAAATCTTCTCAAGAGGTATATGAATCACTTTTTGTGGCTTCGGACAAGCATCTTCACTGACAAAACCCCACTTTGCACTTGTGTGCGAGTTTCGGGATTGTGCTTCAAAGAGAACACGAGCGCACGCACGGTCTTGCGGTAGGACGTGTTAACGAGGTGGGAAGAGAGATAAAAAGCTTCTTGCTCAATATTTTCTGCCAGCAGGTGACCAATCTGAAAACAGAAAGTAAGAAATGAGATCCTTATGTTTAATAAGGAGACTAAACATTTGCAAAGGAGATGGTTTCTTAATCAGCTCAAAGAAGGAAATTCACTTCGCATGGCAAGTTAAACAGGAAGAACAATTTCATTTCACTGCAGCAATTAAAGAATAAGGCTGTGTGGTCAGTTCCTGGTGTTTATTTTCTCCCCACCCCAACAGGAAAGTAATCTGTAGTCAGCCTGGGGTATCAAACTCAAAAGCAATTACGAATGGAGGAGTACCATTTCCAATAACACCGATTTTTGCTGGGGTTTTAGACTACTCCGAAACCAAATCCTAGATGTTCTGAATCCTTCACAAAACTGACTGGCAAGGCTGTAAAAGGAAATGGAGACTCTGTGCACAAGTGTCAGGTATAAGTCTGTAGAGATGCTCAGTCATCCAGATCATGGTTGTCCCAAAGGTGCTTTTTCATGAGGCAACTGGACTTTCATGTTTCTTCTTTTGAAGACGTTTCGCTTCTCATCCAAGAAGCTTCTTCAACTCTGACAGGATAGTGGGGAATGGAAGGATTTATATTCCTTGCAGATGTTTCCCACTATCCTGTCAGAGCTGAAGGAGCTTCTTGGATGAGAAGTGAAATATCTTCCAAAGGAAAAAACAAGAAAGTCCGTTGCCTCCTGAAAAAAGCACCTTTGGGACAAGTGTCAGGTATGATCAAGAAAACAGAAAAGCATAAATTTTGAAGTCCAGCTTCAGCATGTGCCAAGCTATATCCAATGAGATAACTAAAGAAGCAATATCAAAATAAAATAAAAGTAGCTACTACCTACAAAAAAAAGGGGGGGGGGTATTTCATTTTGATTACTGGTATCACAGAACTTAGGAGATTCCTCTTTATATTATTTTACAGCCACTGTGGGCATAACCTCATCACACACAACTGCATGTTATACCCAGAATGATGCTGTTAGTTTTCATTTACATTGAATAACTTATTCCTACTGGAGAGAATTACGGATCACAGTGCCTTTGCAGAATGGTGAGTTTAAAGCGCATATTCCCAAACTCACTTTTTCAATTATTTAGAATATCTTGTCGGTTTTAAAATCACTGTCACTTATATGAGTGCTTTTTCTAACTGCTCCGCTGATTTATATCTCTGTCTTCTTAGCAATGTCTCATGAGAAAATTCAAATAATAAGCTGTATTTACTATCAACCTTCAAGTTCACTTTAGAAATGAATGACCAGAACTGATCAGATATGACATGACTTACTCTAACACTGCTGAGACCCAGCCTAAGCAAACCATACACCTGTAGTTTGAGCTCATAGCTCACCGCATTTTACATGTGTAAATATGTTCCCATTCTCAACGGTAGGGAGATACTGTAAAGACAAGTGTATCCTTTTTGCAGTGTAACAATGCCAGAGTTAAAGGTGTAGGAAATTAGATAAATCTTCATTTCATTACGTGTAAAAATGTAAAACCGGCTTGCATAAACTGAATCATGTATTCCATCTAAATTATTACAAACATACAGTACATGCATACATAATTAATTAAAATTTTACCTACTCTAATAAGCTTTTAACATTTCTTATTCTAGACTTTTGAATATATTCCTCTTCCTGCTTAAATAGATGTGTACTCTTTAAATTATAGCTATTTTGCGCGTGTGCATTAAAAAAGCCAAGATACCAAAAATATGTGCAATGCCAGGAAAGACTGATCTGGTATAGTACAAACTTTTTTTTTTATAAGGCTAGGGAGGTAGGTCAGGATGCTGGCTATCCTTCTGAGAATAAATATTTCCCATTGCATCCTGCAACAAAAGTCTATGGCTATGTTGTATTCATTTTAGTAGATTTGTTTCTGGTCCTTCAGTAAAATCTATAAAAGTAACTGTTTTGTTCAGACAGAAACAATACTACAATAATAAAACCAAGCTAAACACCAAGCTGAAAAAAATAACTGTGGCTTGTTAGCAGGTAACAATAAAAATGGAAACACTGTTTTATAGTTAGGTAAGTATAAACAGTTTACACAAAAATCACATGAGTGGTAAAATTGTTGGGCTTCTTAGGTTGTCACTGAAGACCATCAGGAAGCATCAGATGGTTCAGAATGCAGTGGTACAGCTACTTATGGACACATCTCACTATTCCCATATAACACTGCTTCTCCTTGAGATGCACTGACTTCCAATAGGCTTCCAGGTGCAATTCAAGATACTGATTATCACCTTAAAAGCTCCACACGGCACAGGACCAAATTACCTGAAAAACCATCTTCTCCCAAGAACATCTGCCTGCTCCACACACTCCCACAGGGAATGCATACTCCATATTTCTTCTTTTCCTTCTCACGGGACCCTAGAACCATGCCTTTTCTTTGGCATGGTCTCCAATCTCCAGTCTATCATATGACAGGCCACAACTCAGCTCACTTTTAGAAAAACTATCTGGCTCTTCCCCTCGGCATTAAGGGCCAATTGAGTGAAAAAATTTCCTCTTGGTTGTTCTGTTGTGTTGCTTGATCACCATTTTATATTTATATAGTGCATATGTTTAAGATTATATGGTTTGGGAAGGATTTCTTGTGGGTTTATTTTTTTATGCTGCACCCTGTCCAGAGTCGCACGGTTTTGAGTTGGTGGTCTTTCAAATCTTGTTAACAAAATAATAAATATTCTACAGTATGTGATAACAATGCAAATTCTTTTGACTTTGGTTTAGCATGGTGTAAACCAGGGGTGTCAAACTCACGGCCCACAGGCAGGATGTGTCATGTGCTGGCAACACCCATGCCCAGTTTAGCGAAGGGGAAAAAGTCACAATACGTCATGTGATGATGCCGTGACGATGCAAGTTTGACACCCCTGGTGTATATCATTATGACTTTTTAAAAAATCATTTTATGGCTTAGCAGATTCTCCTCACAGATTGCTTAGCACTTGGGCTGCTATACGTAAAGCGGGCTGCTTTGGCCCGCTCTGGGTATGACTGCATCTAGAAATATTTTTAAAAAGTAGACATTTGATATGCATTTTTTAACAGTGAGAGAAAAGTGAGAAATAGTGAAGTGTCTTACAAAGTAATTGGAGTAAAAAACAATTTAAAGATCAGGTTAAAAGTGAAATGCAGATATTTGTCTAATTACTGCCACTGAATCTGTGCACTCACTTTTTCATATATAAAACCTTTATAATAGGTACAACGCTGTTAAACTAGTTCCCCAGCTAAACTTGGCTAGAATCACTGCAATGTTATGCATCTGTCCGAAAAACTGTGGGCCACAACTGATGATTCCAACTCACAATTTGGTCTACTAAGCACCTGACATCTTAGCTCCAGAATCTACTGCTGTCTTCTTAATAAAACAGGAGGGCGTAATTTTCTGAATAAAGTTGATAAGGAATAAAAGCACATTTCTAAATTTTGCTTTGTAGTCTTCGGGTGCCTTGACATGCCATTTAAAGGATAATTAATGAATTCATTTAAAAGGATAATTATTATGGAGTTTAATAGAGCAAGCAAGCTGGTGATTAAGCTCAGGGAGAATTCTTGTTGTGTTCATTACATAAGGGTACCATAGGGATCTTATATTTACCACCACTTTGTACACTATTGACCCTCTCTGTAGGGTCTCACAATAAACTCTGATTTACAAACATTTAATTACGGATATAAGGTTTGCCTGAAATATAGAACATCTGGAGAGGAGACCACTATTATACATTGCATACAAAATAACTACACATTTACAATTTTTTCTTTCAAATTATTTCCTAGACAATGCTGGGTAATAATTTGTTTAATTAAATTTCACTGAACTGATCATAGTCAAATGAAATTATGTAACATTCTAAGCTATAAACCACGATTTACAAAGAGCAATATATTTGCACAACGTGCCAATCCAAAACAAATTATGGCTAGCATGATTTGTAAACTTAGTCCCAAACCAATAGTTGTGCTGCCCCTTGAAATAAGGCTACAGTGGTGAAATAAAGGATCTTTTCTGTTGAAAAGCTATTTCTGTTGTAAATAAGTTAATTCTGATATCACTTCAGCAACAGGCCCAAAATGATGTTTATTTCTTGAGGCCTTCCAGCACATAACTGAAGTAGGTTTTAAAATATTTTATTCCTTCTTCTGGCTTTGGGCTTCTGTCATGCTTTTGTTGTTTCAGCTGATTTTATATTTCAATTTATTGCCATTGATATTGTTTTTATGATCCTTCTGGGCAACTTTGGGAGTTATGTGAAGCAAAAGTACAAAACATTTTAAATGAAATTATGATTGCAGTTACTCCAGAGAAATGCATATGGATTCGCTTCACTAAAAACGAGTAATAATAAATATTTGACTGGATGTTACGGGTAGGTAAACAGGAATAAGGAAAAATTATAAAGAATGCATTTCCCTCAACAGTATACTACAACTGTTTTTTTTACTAATTTATTTATTTATTTATTAAGAACATTTATATAGCCACCCAACTCATTTATGGTGACTGAGCAGCTTATAGAAGTAAAAGATATAGTTGAAGTCTCCTCAATGATCCACAAGACTTCATCTCTACTACCTGAAATTTATATATTTATGTTCTCTATTTCTTCTTCTTTTCTTAAGCTCTGCTATCAAGACAAAATGCACCAGAGTGAGGCATGTTATGTCGTAGTAACAACCAGCAACCAGATTCAACAAATACAATTTTCTGTCGTCACCATAGCTAAAGTATCTTCGGGGGGGGGGGGGGAGATCCTATTGGCAAGTTACTTATCAATAAGTAACTTTTGAATATCAACTTGTGATTTATGTAGAATGTTTATTGCTACTTTCATTCCCTCGTCTAAATGGATGAAGTCTGCCTGAGGTTTTCAAAATTAGCTGAAACTATCCGAAAGCTGATGTCCCTTTCTTAAAATGCAATTCAGGATAAGAGGAGGAATGAACAAACAAATTGTGGGGTTTTTTTTAAGAGATAATTTTTTGAAATATAAGGAAGCCAAAACTAAGCCAGTGTTGGATTTATCATCTGTTCCTTCAAACTGCAAAGCAACTTGTCTTCAAGATCATTAATATTTGCATCTGAATGGCTGCCAATATTTACAGTGTATGGCTGCCCGTCTTATATGATTGTAATTCTGGATGGTGTACTGGAAAATAACCAAATGAAAATCCCCAATAACTGTTAAAACCAACAATATCAACATATATTGGTATGATATTGAACGCTTTCGGTATTATTGTAAACTGCCCAGAGTCACTTATAGAGTGAAATGGGTCATGTAAATAAATTTGATAAATAAACTAGGTAACGTCATCAATGAAGGAACTCTACAACAACACATAGTCAAGGCCCATCAACACAGCCTTCTCCTCTCAAAGATAGGCTTATATGTCACCCTGGCTCAACAAAGCTAATAGGGTCAGGGTTAACCAGATTTTGCTGGGGAAAGAGTGGAGATTCCAAAGGGTAGATGCCCCATAATGGTCCTTGGTCCCACTGTATAGCACTGCTTCAGGGAAGGGGCCGGAATCATGCCTATCCCGTTAGAGCATGTCAGTTGGGCACAAATCATGTGAGAAAAGCAGTCCCACAAATAACAGAATAATAATATTAGGCTACAAAGGAAAGTTATTTCCTAGAAATTTATCATGAAGACATACATGTTACCTCAGCTTCTAGAGCTTCTGCTAGTAGCTTCCGGGCATTCTGTCTCAGACTCTCTGTTCTGGGATTACTCCTGACTTCAATTAAAGGTCTATTTGAGTGGTTTTTAATAAAACTTCTCCACTCAGCGTACACCTCTTTGGCAAGAGTGGCCACATCCTGGTCCGGGTGTTTCCGCATCTTATTCACTGTATGACCTAGGAGTAAATTAAAGATATAGAGTACATGGTACCATTGAATAGGATGTTGGAAAATGGGGTAAAGCTGAAAAATATCTTTTTTCCTTCTTACATCTGCCACTGCAATCTAGAAATCCTGCTCAATGAGGAGCAATTGGTTGTTGTGGCATCTATTCCCAAGCCATCATCATCATCATCTGTTTTATTCATTAAACATGAAACTCAGTCAACTGAACATTTAAAAATGTATCACAAATATCGAGTGGCATTTATGATTGATATGGGTTGCTGCCAGCATCCTAGGTATCAACCAAGTATTTTCTTAAGATGTACAATGTTCCAAGTAGCGCTTTTTTTTGCAGTTCCACTGGTGTTGTTTGTAAGAAGCTGCAAATTTCTGATGTATTTAATAAAATTCTTGGACATGGTACCAAGTGCCCCGATGACATGGGTATCACTGTTACACTGATACTCTTACACTGTTACTGTTCATCCATAATCGCGTAGTATTGATGGCCAGGTTGCAATATTTTATGATTTTTTTTCCAATTCTTTTTCTTCGACTCTGGCGTCTTCTGGTACAGCAATATCAATAAATTGTACGCATCAGCCTTCAACAACTGTAATATCTGGCATGTTGTTTCCAAATGGCAATCCATCTGTATTTGAAAGTCCCACAAGATCTTTGCCTTCTCATTTTCGATAACTTTTTTCCACTTTATTTTCCCATGACTTTTTGGATACAGGTAAGTCATATTTTTTACATAATGACCAGTGGATTAATTTAGCAACTCAGTCATGCCTAGCTTTGTAATCAGTTTGCACCATTTTGCTGCACTCACATATTAAATGTGAAAGTTTCAACTTTGTCATTGCAAAGTTGGCAGTTTGGATTGTCAGTGGTTTTTTATATCTTTGCTTTCACAGCATTAGTTTGTAGTGTTTGTTCTTGAGCAGCAAGTATTAAATCTTCCGTTTCCTTCTTGATGGTTCACATCTTAAGCCATGCCTATGTCAAGTTATTACATTTTCCTTCAATGTTTTTCAAGTGCTGTCCATGCAAAGCTTTGGTTTTCCATCCATTTAATTTGTCATCCAGCTGTTTTTCCTTATATTCTGCCTTTTTTTCTGTTGTTTTTGTAATGTTCTCAGTTTTCACAGCCTGCAGCAATTTTTCTGTACTTTGATTCATATAGTCATTCAAACTTCATTTTTCTTCTTCTACAGTTTGATGGATTTGCAATAGCCCTCTACCCCCTATTCTCCTTGACAGGTACAACCTCTTAATGTTTATTTTGTGGATATAAAGTGTGATACATATTCAAAAGTTTGTGCATTTTCCTGTCCAGGTTTTCCAGTTCAGCCAAAGTCCAGTTGATGATTCCAGCTGGGTAGTGTATCACTTGGAACAGCTCATGTATTAATGGCTTTAATTATGTATCCAGCATTCAGCTTTGATTGTAATATTTTGTGGACCCTCCTGATGTATTCCTTTTGCATTGTTGTTTTGACTTTTCCATTCAAGATGTTATCTGCCTCCAATATGCCTAGGTATTTTAACTTTCATCCCTTACTAATGCTTTCACTATGCTTCCATTTCCCAGTTCTATTCCATTTTTTTCCATTTTTCCTCACTGCATGGTTAATATAGCACATTTTTCAAGTCCAAAGTTCATTTTGATGTTGATGCGGAACAGTTGAACTGTGTTGAGTATTGATTTAAGTTCAGTGGGGCTTTTTGCATACATTTTTAAGTCATTTATGTATAGTAGATTATTTATCTTGCCGTGCTGGTTTGAGATTTGGTATCCCAGTTTTGTATTTTGTAGGATTATTGTCAGTGGAATTAATGTAATATTGAACAATAGTGGCAAAAGTGAGTCCTCTTGGAAGATTCCTCATCTGATTAGTGTGACTTCACTAATATTCTTCCCATTTGTTGTTAGAACTGTTTTCCATTTTTGCATATTTGCTTTCAAAAAATGTACAATTGTTATTATTTATTATTATTATTATTATGAGACCCATTATGACATGGAGATTTAGCAACAGAGAGGAATTGGGTGAAACCAGAAAAAAAATCAAATGCGTCATGTGGTTTTCCTAGAAATTATCTACTTCGTGACATCTAAAATAAATTGAAAGCTATTTTGGGAATGTAACTCAGGAGGAGCAATTAAAATAAGCTCCATGAGCACAGAAGGGGGAAATGAAGTAGGCATTCTTCTGAAAGTTTGGTGGTTTCTATGTTTGTTTGTGTGTGCGCATGTGTGTGTTTAGAGGTGCAGCTTGATTGACAGAGGGCAATATTTGTCATTTGAATAAATCCTGTGGCAATAATCAAAGAAAGGGCAGAACCAGGACCAATATTAAACTTGACTGGACCCAGAATTCAAATAAGTATTAATTAAATCAATTTTCCCCTTTGAACATTTCAAACTACATCTTAGGTGCAACTTCTCCAAGGACTCTGAGAGAACTGCATCTTAAATTAGTGCCTCTGATATGTGAACAGATAGTCCTCGATTTACAACAGTTCATTTAGTGACCAAAATTACAACAGCACTGAAAAAAGTGACTTAGAACCATTTTTCACACTTACAGCCACTGCAGTATCCCCATGGTCACGTGATCAAAATTCAGTGGCTTGACAACTGACTCATATTTATGACGGCTGCAGTGTCTCAGGGTCACGTGATCACCTTTTGCAATGTTCTGACAAGCAAAGTCAATGGGGAGGCCAGATTCACTTAACCACTGTGGCAAGGGTCGTAAAAATGGGGCAAAACACACTTAACAAATGTGTCACTTAGCAAAATACATTTTGGGTTCAACTGGAGTCGTGAGACGAGGACTATCTCTGCTAAATGCTTAGCATTGTATAACTGAACTGTCCCAGACAGAATATAAAAAGCAAACTGTTACCTATTTTTGTGGAAAGCAAAATTTCCTTGGAGGGCATTTTCTTCCTTAACTCCATCAAGGCCTCAATTAGGTTCTCCTTAGGTTGAATTGAAAGCTCTAGTATGGATTTCCATCTTTTTATATCTTCTACAACTACCACTCTCTAGGAAAGAAACCCATCATTAGGAGCTAGAATGAGACACATGTATTTACTGCAAACTCATTTCCTGTGCTTTCTGTCAGTGAACAGTGCCAGTATTGCCCTCTAAATTATTGATGATGATGGACAGTCAAATACAGAAAATCGGATAATCCACACAGATGACTACTTATTTCACAGCAAGTCCCTGATGTAAAGTGAATGAAATCTAGAAAGCAAAATCAACTCATTAGGTTGCCATCTTCAATTCACTTACTATTCTGAAGACTCCTCATAAAAATCTCAGAAGGCCACATAATATTGTCAACTACACAATTTTCACTGTTACCCTCTTGGCCCCAAACACATGGTAACTGTCATTTCCACCCTCTATACTGCTGTATCTGTTTCACATCATTCATATTCTTCTGATTTATTCCTATACAAAATGAAGTTTTCCACTGCTCTCCCCCTTATGAAATTATATTATTTTCTCTTCCTAAAGATTTTTTTTCCTTCTGGTTAATTTTTAAACTCTTCCCACTTCATTTAACTGTTGAAGAATAAACAAGTCACATAAATAATTAAAAGATTTCTCTTGAAGCATTTCTCTTGAACCTGGATGTGATATGCTGAAGAAAACTTACCAAAAAAGAATTTTTTTAAAAAAATAGAATAAATTAAGATGCTTAAATTTTCCTTTTTTTGGTAAGTATTACTCTTAAAATAAAAGAGAAAAAAATTAAAAGCACAATATTTCTCCAGATTACTTTGTGTTTTGAGAGAAACTGCTAAAATTGGTGTTCATTGGAAATACTTTCTAAATACAGGATTTATATACTGGTAATTTAAAACGCTATCACAATAATGTGAAATTAGAACATTTCAAAATGCTCATTAATTTTAAATTAATTTGAATTTGTTTCATTTTGATCTGATAGCTCAATTTTTCAAATGAATAATTTTACTTTATTAGGCATTGTTGGCTAGTAAGAGATTTTAAAACCAGTTTTATGAGAGACAAACAATAAATGTTATTCTTAGTTCATAATCAAGGTAAGGACTGCAGGAGAAGCTGTCTCATTTGATTTCCTTGCCTCCATTCTAAAGAGTATAAGCTACATTTGACATTATTACAGTTCTCAATGTTTTTGCAGCTTCACCGAACCTCCATTTTGGCCAAACCTTCTCCAGAATGTTGTACAATCCACTTAAAGTATAAATGTTTATTAAAGCTTTAATAAAATCCATTCATTATTCTTTCCAAAGGTTACTTGGGCCGATAAAAAATTTAAGAAGTTATTTTTGAGACGTTTCATTTGGGTCATATACTGAAATTACAGGCTTCAAGAAAAATTAACAGTGAACCTTGTGATATTTTTGTTAATTATATTTCTTTGCATGAAAAAATAGGTTTTTCTTGTAATCTGATTGCCCTATTGGATTTTAAATACATATTTGGGAAATGTACAATTTATCCTCTCAGAAATACGGTCATGTTGTTTGAAGGCAAATAAAGAAATCTAAATTAATACAATGTAGTTGTAGTATATTTGGGAAACTATCTGAAACTTACCTTTAGAGATTCTATTGTAGCTTGTTTATAAACTTTTTCCCTAGGATCGTTCTTTGTTGATTCTCCTTTAGTTCTGGGCGTTCTTATGACAAATTTATCCATCATTTAATAATCCATAAACAGGAACAAATAATTGTTTATAGCAAGAAGGTAGTTCTGTATGAAAGGAGGGAAGGAAGAATGATGCACTGATGATCTCGGTCTTCATAAATGAACTGAGGCCAACAGTGACTTTGCAGTTTCAACTAAAAGCACAAGACCTGCAAAACAAATGATGTAAAAGTAGGAAAGACGTCTGTGATCAAAAATAATATAATATAAATATGAGGTTTAAAACGTGTTGCGGTGAGCATGAACTGGGTATCATTAAACGAGGTCCAAGCGAGATCGGGAAGCAAGCTAAACCTGTTGGAATTTGTGTCACTGTTGAGAAACACAGTTCTCGGCACTTTTCACTAGGTTTTTTTTTTTAAGTAATAAATTAATTTGGTAAAAGAGAAAAATAACAGAAGACGAGCTGCATCTCACCTGGGAAATAAAATTATCTGTCCAGGATGTCTCTTAATAATTGCCGGAACTGCATCTCCTTCCGCTTCTCGCCCCACCTAGAACTACATTTCCCAACAACGCTTCAGCTTCAATCTACTTTCCGGCCCTTCCAGATTTGATCATAGAGATAAAAATTAGAATAACCACATACCTGCCTGGTGGTGTTTTTGTTATTGCTATTCCACAGGGAAAACCATTCGCCGAGGGGAGCGAGGGAAAGTCTAAGAGTTTAATTGTGATTGGGCAGAAAGTTAACCTTCAAACGATGGTCTTCACGCTGTTACATGGATGTGTGGTGCTACCTGTAAAACAGGAGTCCCCAAACCTGTTAACTTTAAGACTTGTGGACTTCAACTCCCATAGCTGGCTGGAGAATTCCGGGAGTTGAAGTCCACAAGCCTTAAAGTTGCCAAGTTTGGAGACCTCTGCTGTAAACATATCTATCTCTGCCATCCAATTGGTCAGTGTTTCTCAACCTTGACAACTTTTAAGATCTCAAATCCCAGAATCCTGCCCCACCTTGTTGTCTGGGGGAGGAGGGAATTCTGGAGGAGGGAATTCCGAAGTCCACCTATCTTAAAAGTTGCCAAGATTGAGAAACTTTGTAGTTAAGGGAAGATGGCCCCTGAACAATGGATATTGATAAAATAAATGGAATAAAACTGGGTTGCGAAGAAGATCAACTTTTCTCTTTGTTTGTTTTTTCCCCTTTATGAGTGTTTTAAATTAAACGCAGGACTGGAATTAGTGTACTCTGATGAGCTGAGGTCTTCCCCCCCACCCCCCGGGCCCCGGGAGAAAAAAAAATCGTGGGAGAGAAACCCGGAAGTTAACCAAACAGTTCTAACCATTAGTAGCTCTCTGGCGTTCTTGCGTGCTTTCGTAAACGAGCAGCTCAAGGTGGGAGTAACAAAAACAAACAGTCGAGGGAAGGGAGAGGGGGCGGCGGTTGCCAACAAGATGGCGGAGGCGCGGCAGAGCCGTTTAGGGTCTTTCCTGCTGCTGGTCGTTCTCGGCTCTCAGACGGCTTGGGCTGACCTGGAGCCCGCTCCGAATACCCTTTCGGAGGCTTTTGAGCCGGCGTTGGGAAACACGCTTCCGTGTCAACGGACGTGCCAGAGCACTTACCCGCTCCACACCTACCCCAAGGTAAGAAATGGGGAAAGCGGGGAGGGAGGTGCGGCTTCGCCCCTAAATCAGCCGCTGGGCAAATGGTTTGTGGGGCTCCTCCTCCTCCTCCAGTCGGAGGCCTGGATAATAGGGGCCGTGGCGGGAGGGTGGGGGAGCGGGCGTATTGCCGGAAGGTGAAGCCGAGAGTGGAGGTGCAACTGTTTCCCCGCGTGTGTACACACGCACGCCACAATACAATTTACCGGGGAGGGATTTATAAACGGGAAAGGACGCCATGCAGACAATATGCTAAAACAGAGGTCTCCAAACTTGGCCCCTTTAAGATTTGTGGACTTCAACTCCCAGAATTCTCCAGCCAGTTATGCTGGCTGGAGAATTCTGGGAGTTGAAGTCCACAGATCTTAAAGGGGCCAAGTTTGGGGGGCCCATATGCTGAAATGTTAATGAAAGCATGTTTGGTTATACAGGTAGTCCTCAATTTACAACACTTTGTTGACTGACTGTTCAAAGTTACGATGGCATTGTTAAAAAAAGGGGGGGACTTCATGACCGTTTTTTCACCCTTAGGACCCTTGCAAGTGTCCTCACAGTCAGGGGATCGAAATTCAGACGCTCACGTTCATTTACGACGGTTGCAGTGTCCCCAGCGGATGGGGGTTCCACAGGATCCACTTTTGCATCCTCCTGACAAGCAAAGTTGATGGGGAATCCGGATTCGCTTTTAGCAACCGTGTTACTAACTTAACGAATGAGATGATTCGCTTAGCCACTGTAGTAGGAAAGGTCCTAAAATGGAGCAAGCTCACTTAACAAGTGTTTCACTTAGCAACATAAATTTGGGGCTGTTTCAATCGTAACTCGAGGACTGCCTGCACCGTGGAAGCCGCCTCTGGCTTTACTTCAGAGCAAGGCGGAGAAAAGCACCTCCTGGATGCTGGCATGGGGAACACCGCTTTCGATGGCCATGAGCCCCTTTAGCAGAAGAGCCTCTGCTCTTCTGAACAATGCCTTCTCCAAGGTCTCCGGCTCAGTGCTGGTGCTTTGCAGATCAACGGTGGAATACAAGTAGTCCTCGACCTACAACCACAATTGAGCCCCAAATATCCGCTGTTAAGTGAGACATTTGTTAAGGGAATTTTGCCCCATTTTACATTCCTTCTTGCCAAGTGAATTCCTTCTTGTTAAGCGAATCACTGCAGTAGACCAGTTAGTAACACAGTTTTTAAGTGAATCTGGCTTCCCCTGTTGGTTTTGCTTGGCAGAAGGTTGCAAAAGAGGATCATATGTTGTGGTTAGCTGGCAGCAGGTACAGACGGCTGTGGAGAGCGAGGACTCAGATGAGGGGCCAGGACCATCAGAGAGTGGACTGCTGCCTTCAGAGATTATGGGGGCTGGCAGCAGTGATGAGGAAGTTTCCGAGGAGCCTGTGCAAAGTTGCACGTGCACGCAGGATTGCTCGGAAAGAGCAGTTACAACAGCACAGGCAACTTGAGAGTAAAGCTGCAAGGTAATGGCCCCCCCTTCAAGAAGATAAAAGCCAATTGTGAAACAAACATACTTTGCAGAAGGAAAAGAGGTTTTGAAACTACAACCTCATGGACATTCCAGTATCCTGAGTTTGTATTTGAACATTTTGTCTTGCAAATTATTTCTTGTCTGTTATCTTTTGGCAAGCCTCGCACAGTTTGGCAAGGCTTGTGCTTATCACAGCTAATTATTTTGTAAAAGCATTACAAGGTTTTTGTTCCTTTTGGATTGTGTTTGATTTGTCGGGAAAGGGCGTGGGTCAGAACATCACATGACCTTGGGAGATAGCAACGGGCGTAAGTATGAACCAGTTGCCAAGCATCTGAATTTTGATCGCATGATTGTGGGGATGATACAAAAGTCCATAAGGGTGAAAAATGGTCGCCAGTCACTTTTCAGTGCTGCTGTAACTTTGAATGGTCGCTAAATGGTCACTAAGTCGAGGACTACCTGTAGAGTTTTCTAATCCCAGCTCAGGTAACTGTCAACTCAGGTGAGATGTAGGAGTTGCTACACATCTGGAGTGTGCCATATTCTGAAAGATTGGATTGGACATGAACTCCACTCAGATGTGCGCGCGCACTTTTCTCCTTTGATTTGTTGGCATGGAACAGACATTCAGTTGAACAACTTTTTGTAAGAAAGGAAAAGGAAGTAAATTTCTTCCTTTGTATTGTCCCTTTCTTGGCCGATAGATGGGCCCCAACTGATCTACCCAGAGTGAAACTCCAGTTTCTAGTTTATATTAATTCATTAAGCTATGAATAAGGTTCTCTGCTGCCTCCCTAATCTATGGTGGTAAGGATCATGTTGAGTGGTATTTGCATATTCATGGCACCTTATTTATCTTTCTAGTAGTTTTATTTGTATGTTAAATAGTGATGGGAATATGAAATTGGAACACTGAGGAGTTGTCACCTTTCTGATATCTTAATATTTAAACATTTTGTATGTAATCGTAGATCAGTCTATTAAACCATGGCATTCGTCAAGTGTTATATCTAACTTATCAAAATGTGGCCTTTTTGTTGAAAATGACACTGTGAAACAATAGATTGAAATATAGAAGTTAAATTGTCCAGGATATACTTTATATTTTGTTATATACTGTATTGAGAATTTTTACAGTAAGGTTATTAAAATTATTATGGTGACTTTCTTGACATTTAATTATCAGGAAGAAGAGCTCTATGCATGTCAAAGAGGTTGCAGATTATTTTCAATTTGTCAGTTTGTGGATGATGGAATTGATTTGAATCGGACCAAGATGGAATGTGACTCTGGTAATAATACAAAGTAGTGACTTTTTCAGGTTATAATTTAAAAAAAAATCCCAATGTTTAGAAGAGCGTAGAAACATTTTAGTAATCTGGTAAATTGCAAGCAGAATGTCATAATAGCTTAGGACATTGCCTAATCACAAAGGACACATAAAGCCTTCATGCAAATGAAATACAAGACAGAATGTGAATTTGAGCCCCAAAGTGTCAAAGAAAAGATTAGTCCCAAAATCACAGCAAACTATTATTTCACAAAAGGAAAAGTCATCAGAATTAGAATATCCACCCCAGTTAACAGACAAACCTACTGTAGCTATCCCATTTTCAAACAGACAATACATACTCTAGGCAAAACAGCTCCTGTGCAGAGCTCTACTGAGCCTTTCCCAACTTACCAATTAGTGGTTAGAGCCACTGACAGCCTTCTGTTTTAGAAAGCTTTCAGCCATAATGCTGAAGCCATTTATTTTTATTTATTTAGTTCAGAGATGTAAAAGTTAGTTCAAAGGCTACGTGTTGCTTATTGCCTTTTCACAAAAAAGTAATCTAATGTTTGATTTGGTTTAGGACATAAGCCCAGTGAAGGTTTGCTTGCTTTCTATTTTGATAACACTGTTCTGAAATCTTGTACGTTACAGTGTGGTACTTTATTCAACTGTAAATCCTACTGACTTGACAAGGATTCCCTTCCAAGTCAATATGCATAGGAATAGATCCTTAGTTGATGTGTTTGGTACACATTTATGGGAAAACTCTATTTTTCCCTTGTAATTTGTTTACATGGTTTTTCTGATTACATGCTTGCCTGTTTCCTTCTATAATCATGTATAGTAAGTTACATCTCAGGAGATTTAAAAAATGAAATGATCTGCCTTCTACAAACAAAGGATCTACAGAAAGCCATACCAAATTATTTCCCCTTGTCTCTTTTTAATAGTTCTGTCATTTAGTTATCTTGGATTTTGTTTACAGATTGAATTTTAAAATAGTTTCACCTCAATTTTCATTTTTAAATACTGGCACGTTCCATTAGGATGGGTGTCAAGAAGTAGAGTCCAAAAATACTGCAATAGTATTAAACAGTGGTTTCATCTGTGCTTCATCATTGCTAAGGAATGTGCAGTCCTTAAAACAGAGAAAATTGATGTTATTTTGCAGCATGTA